ATTATGTTTGAGTACTCTTCGTAACTCATGAATGAAAAGTTGACAGGTTGAGTGAGGGCCTTTGTTGAATACTTTTAGATTTAAGTTTCAGTATTATGTCCCCGTTCTCAAGGAAAATAAATCGGGACAAATCAAATTTTCACGTATTAAAAATTTACAGAATTGAAAAGGGTATGAATAATTTAGCTTTTTACCGTATATAATAATATCATCATTTTAAAGAATATGTAGACCAAAGAGGCATATCCCCTTATCTTTTCGGGATGCCTGATAGTGAATGTTTACATTTTTAAAGAGGTCTTAATTTTGCCCTTTTCCTTGTTTTCAATCAGGCGCGGTTTTACTGAAGATCACCTTTTTGGGGGAAGGGGTGGCTTTGGGAGTTAAGCTTTTGGTCTGTGTCGGCGCTTCAATCATCAACAACAACAAATCATAACAATCTAGAATAAAGAACCAAGAGAGAGAGAGAGAGAGAGAGAGAGAGAGAGAGAGAAAGGGGGAGAAAGAGAGAGAGAGAGAGGGGAGAGAGAGAACCCCTCACCAGTGGCGTAGACAGGTTCGTACACCTGGGGGGGATAACTCAGGGGCGGATCTAGCTTTTTGCTAAGGGGGGGTTGACCAAAATAATGACGATGCAGAGCATCGTCCACGAGCCGCGAAGCGGCGAGCCGATTTTTTTGGGGGTGTTTATTTGAACCCCGTAAGTGATGTTTTCCTGGCATCTATTAACACAATGGAGACCATAAAAGGCAGTGCATGATAACGTCTTTTTAAATCAAGTAACAGTTAAATACACAGTTATATCCAGAGTTATCATGTGTTTGGTTAAGTTACCAGATGAGTTGAATATCTTCTCACAATATTTGCACTTGAAAGGGTTTCTCTCCAGCGTGCGTTCTTTTTTCTTTCTTTTTTTCTTTTCTTTTTTTCTTTTTTCCCCCTTTTTTTGTTGTTTTGTTTTTTTTTTGGGCCGCCCAAGGGGGGGGGTTTTAAACCCCCTAACCCCCCCCCCGTAGATCCGTGCTTGTTTAATCTTGTGGTTATCTTGTGGTTTCCAAACCACAAGATAACCACAAAATACTTGTAAGATTTTCTTTTTTTTACCGTCTGAATTGGCTTTCACCGTGTGAATGCGGCTAATATAGGATTTCCCGGCCAAATTCGCGAGTTTGTCATTCAAATTAACTTGTCTTGCGTTCAAATTCGAAAGTTTTAGTGCAGTCAGGTATATCTCGAGTTTATATTCCCTTTTCTAGTTTTCAAGTCTAGGGAATTTTCGTTAGAATCTACGTATGTTTCATTCAAATTAATGAACAATGTGCTTCTTTCGCTATTTGGTCATTCGATTTGGCGCAAAACGATTTTCTGACAACGCGACGGTGTACTTCTAACATTCTAATTCATTTGTGGCATTCAATTAGCACTTTGTGCACTTAAATTGATGGTCAATATACATTTCTTGTTTATTACACACTTTTTATAGCTCATTCTTTTTCTTTCAAGATTGTTTTTTCATGTGTATTTCATCATATTTCATTTTCTTGCATTTATACACTTATACTTATTAGATTTATCTGATATTCATCAGCATTTAAGTTTGATTGTTAAGAAGAAAAAACGACTTGGATCTGCGGACCTGATGGTCTCAGTATATTTGTAAATGTTCATGTAAGGAAGTTGTTTGTCTTATGTTTCATCATAAATTTATCATAATTAATTTTCATCATAATTTCATTATGGAAGAAGGGTACAATATTGTGACTGGGGTAGGGACTAGAGTCAACAATTTGAACATGATTCATTATTGAGCCATGTCTTTAGCCATCGATCTGCTGGCGGGCAAGTACACTATGAAACTCTTTTAGAAAAACAGAGGGGTGTGCTGGGTATAAGAGACGATGTGAATTACTTTTGTAAAATTCCGAGTCTGTAGTAAAAAGGGGCGATTGAGGGTACCCCCACACTTCCCGGGTATATGAACATGTCCGTGCAGAAATGCCATATCCCTTGATTTCGCCCCTTCTTTACTTTATGTCTGCATGGTCCTGAAAATAAATAAATAGAATGACAGCTTAGCTCCCAATGACAAATCATGCATTTTAACTGCATTATTTAAAAACTGTAAAAGTTTGTTGCAATTCTTCCCCCTAACATTCCTAACTTGAATAAAAATATTACGAATACGAATGACAGGTGTTAATTTGAATGATAAAAATTACGCTTCGACAAGTGAATATTAATTTGAATGCTAGTTGAACAGTTTCTAAATTGAATGACAGATCTATGAAACCCTTCGACCAAAATCCCAAATTAAATACAAAAACTGGAAAATTGAACGATAATTGGCATGGCAAAGCCGATCTGCGCTAACTTAAATGCAAAGTAAATGAATTCGAATGACAAACACGCGAATTTGGCCGGGAAATCCTATAATAATAAACACAATTACAATAATGATGAGGATTATTATTATCATCATCATAATTATTATTATTATTAATATTATAATTGTTATCATTATTATTATTACTATTATTATCATCATTATGACTTATTAAGTAAGCAAATATCATTCCCAAAAACCTGGGGGGGATGATTGTACATGCCATCCCCCCACCTTGTGAGGTGGGGGGGATGCATCCCCCTCATCCCCCCCGTTGTCTACGCCCCTGCCCCTCACCCCGGGGGAGGGGGGGGTCGTAGATGGCCTAGGAGCCGGACAAAATGGGCCAGGAGAATGGCCCCAGCTAGCATAGAGGGAGAGGGTGAGAAAGACGAGAGATAGAGAGGGTGAATGTCGATCGGAGGGGAGTAAGATCAAGAGGGGGAGTCCAGCTTATTAAGGGTTCTTCGATGAGTAACGGTTCTCTCCCTCTTTGTTATTCATGCATCTCTATTTGAATTGTTCAATGAGCTTACGTCGGGACGCTACTTACATACGCCGAATGCATGCTACACATGCATAGCGTGTATGACGGGCGGATCGCGCCATAAAGATGACAACTATACAACTATACATCCATCGAATGGATGTAAGGTTTTAACCAATCAGAACGCAGGAAACTGTACAACTATACAACTATACAACTATACGACTATGCAACCATACAGCTATAGAACGTATGTAAGGTTGTTACGTTTGCGGGCCGAAATGCCATAATTGCGAACAACCATACATCCATTCAGCTTTATGGTTGTACGGTTTTAACCAATCACAATGCAGGAAACTATACAGCCATGGCGGCGAGAATGTCTGTATAGTTTTATGGCTGTACGGTTTTAACCAATCACAATGCAGGAAACTATACAGCCATGGCGGCGAGAATGTCTGTATAGTTTTATGGCTGTACGGTTTTATCCAATCACAATGCAGGAAACTATACAGCCATGGCGGCGGAAATGTCTGTATAGTTTTAACGTTATGGCTGTACGGTTTTAACCAATCATAATGCAGGAAACTATACAGCCATGGCGGTGAGAATGTCTGAATTTAGCTGACACTTATGCCTCTACAGCCATTGAATGCTGAACATAGCAAAGCAATGATGGAATAAATAAAAATAAAAATTGATCTTATAGGCCTACTAGTACTAAATAATAATGGATCTAGTGGTAGATTTACTAGTAGTTGACCAGAACTAGATCTAGACTAGGTGATAGCTATAGTACTAGTACTAGTACTAGGCCTAGATCTAGTGCTTAATTAGTACTGCTACTACTAGGTCTAGCCTAGTACTATTCTATTTAATTTAGTGGACTATTACTATAAATAGACCTAGACCTACTAGTAAATAGTAGATCTAGACTAGACTATTATTACTATAGACTAGACCTAGATCTACTCTAGTAGACTAGATCTAGGTCTATTATAGAAATATTAGTAGACTATAGGCCTAGATTTACTCCTATTCAGATCTACTAATACTAGACTAGGTCTAGATCTAGATCTAATTTCCTAAATCGGCAATTGTAGATCTAGACCTAGGTCTATTTAGATCTAGTCTAGGGTATATAGGGTCTAGATCTCTCTCTAAGCAACAGACCCATCGGCAAATGTATATATAGACTACAACATGATTATTCCTAATGACGTGGAGGACCTACATTGTTATCAACTGCACGAATAAATTAAATTAATTGATTTGTACCTTTCCTAACCGAACATTAAACTTTGGTGGACATTTGCAGTTGGACCTGGATGAATTTATATGAATGGGACTGAAATGCATGAACTGGTGCAATTCGCCCATCTTTTTCCAAGTTGGGGAGTAATATTTGTATGTTTATTTAGAATATCGTTCGGTTAAACAACAAATTCTTTGCCTTATTGCATAAGTTTAGCGATGCATGGCTAGTCTATATAATTTCCTGCATTGTGATCAAAACCGTATAGCTATAAAACTATACAGACATTCTCGCCGCCATGGCTGTATAGTTTTCCTGCATTGTGATTGGTTAAAACCGTACAGCCATAAAACTATACAGACATTCTCGCCGCCATGTCTGTATAGTTTTCTGCATTATGATTGGTTAAAACCGTACAGGCATAAAACTATACAGACATTTCCGCCGCCATGGCTGTATAGTTTCCTGCATTGTGATTGGATAAAACCGTACAGCCATAAAACTATACAGACATTCTCGCCGCCATGGCTGTATAGTTTCCTGCATTATGATTGGTTAAAACCGTACAGGCATAAAACTATACAGACATTCTCGCCGCCATGGCTGTATAGTTTCCTGCATTGTGATTGGTTAAAACCGTACAACCATAAAGCTGAATGGATGTATGGTTGTTTGCAATTATGGCATTTCGGCCCGCAAACGTAACAACCTTACATACGTTCTATAGCTGTATGGTTGCATAGTCGTATAGTTGTATAGTTGTATAGTTGTACAGTTTCCTGCGTTCTGATTGGTTAAAACCCTACATCCATTCGATGGATGTATAGTTGTATAGTTGTCATCTTTATGGCGCGATCCGCCCGTCATAAGCGTGCACAACTAACTTGTGGCTTGTAACATCTTTAGCAGAACGAATTTCTCCCAGCTGTTTGAATCTCGCTCCTCATCCACCCATACTATTTTGCAAAAGTGAGCCAATTTCTAATATCATCAAAGTGACTTTTCAGTTTTCACTGATTATTTTCTTCTTGGATATTTTATGCGACTGAGGTGAGAATTTAACAATCATTCAACAAGTAGATTAGATGTTGTAATCTGGACAGGCTCTTTTTTGTTACCGCGGGTATTATTTTTGTTTTGTACCACGTACCGCATTTGGTGTAATGTTGATGTGTTGCTCTTGTCATTTTCTGCGGACTGCGTCTGTCCGTCTCTAATGCCGCGCCGCCGTGCTGCGCTGCCCCACGGCAACCGTGGAGCACGGTGCTGAAGTGGAAGTGGCCTGGGCGCGCGGCGCAAACATCAGAAACATACAGAAAAAAAAATGAAAATCATGATCTATTGTGAACTGTCATGATTTGGTCAGCTATGAATATGATCACTTACATGTACTCACCAAGGCAATGTGACTTGCAATGTTGCATTGTCGGTGTGCACATTTATCATAATTTAGACTAGTCTAGACTAGATCTAGATCTAGGTCAGTTTTTTTTTAGAAATAGGTCTAGAGGCCTAGGTGAACTGGTTAAGGTATAGACCGAATTTTCTGTCTCTTTCGTTCGTTAGCCTCTTATTGGGGTAGGGTCGGCTCTCTCTTTAGAGACCGAAACAGACTATCCCGCGAAATGTGTAGGGTTATGTGGGCAAATCAGCACACCAAACTTGCAAAACTTATCCCCGAATTACTCCTTTCACAGGATGCATATCCGATGCATTTTATATTGTAAATTAGGTTAAAACTTAACTACTTCGGTTCCACTTACCAACTTGACTGAAATAATCCGTTTAATGGTCCATTTTTAGGAAATTATGGGTCAAAATCGATATCCATGATGAAAATCTTGCAAGCCGTGTAAAACTCTCGCTGCCGGAGTCATCTAAATCAATCTCATCCCTTCTAGTCTACGCCGAAGGCAAAATGATTATGAAGGAAAAACTGTGATAACGCCATTACGAACGTGTAGATGGCGCGTACAGTTTTTCCTTCATAATCATTTTGCCTTCGGCGTAGACTGGGATGAGATTGATTTAGATGACTCCGGCAGCGAGAGTTTTACACGGCTTGCAAGATTTTCATCATGGATATCGATCTTTTAAAAATACGACTTTTGTCAGTAAAATACAACTTTGGGGTTTAAAGAATACAGTTTTTGAACTCGAGAGGTTGGCAGGTCTGCAGTCAGAGGGCGGAAAATGCACCCAGAATGTTAAATGCTAGCAAAATGCAGGGATGCCAGTTTACAAGCTTTTCATTGATTTGTAAAGCCTTGTCACTTCTGTTTTTCCAGGCCATTTCAGGCTTTATCAAATACATCATTACATGTAGGTACATGTTAGTACATGTACTTTGGAGGTCCAAAATGTCAAGCACACTTTTCAGGGTAATATCTGTTAACTACATGTACAATGTATATGCATGTTTCTCTCCCTAACCACTAGTTATCAGCCATTTCATTATATGATAGTAAATTTTACTTAGGAGGTTGGCAGATATGCGTTCTAAAGCACGACTTAATTAGCAAGCATTTATTTACGTCACCCTGAATAGGGACTTAGGGAGGTGAAAAGCCTTGACTCGCTGCTTTGTCACCACTTCCTAAATTACGAGTTGAGGCGACCAGAACTTGGAACAAGCTCAAAAAAGGAAATAAAAATTGGTGAGGTAAGGGGAAGAAAGGAATCGGTCAATTGACAGCCCTTTGTGCTGTCTTGTCACTTGCACCAGATAACTGTTGACGTTGAGAAGAGGCCACAGTTCTAAAAATAACCAGCTTTCACCTAGAAATTAATATGATGTAAGATAGAAATTGAAAGCTCAAAGCTTTTTTGCCACTAAAATTAGTCGGGTGCGAAGGATGAAGCTCTTTGCAAAGTTTGTATACTGCAAACTTCATGTTACGAAAGTGCCATTTCGACCATTTTCATAATGTAATCATATTTAATGCACAAATTTTTGTTAAGTGCCTTATTCAATTCAATTCAATTCACCTGTTACAAATAATTGTATTTCAATAGTCTGAGATTTATTGTTAGGCAGGGCAAGCCATAATCTTTGTCCAATGCAATTCACATTCTGACAATTGTAATACAATTATTTGTAACAGGTGAATGAAATAATTTGTATTGAGGCACTTTATGCTTTAAATTTGATTACATAGGTTGTTGGTATTCCAGATTATGGATAATGGTAACTGTACTGTACATGTACAATAACCTGGGCGCTGGTCCCTCATAGATTTCATAGTTTAATGCTGAGTTCCATCTTGCGCACATCTTTTTAATATTTTATTCTATTTGCCCTGTTTAGAAAGTAAGTATGGAGCACTGCTCTAAGTTTTGTTTTTGCTTTGTTATTGTTTTGATTCAAGACATACATGTACATGTATGCTGTATAAAGGGTCTTTGATTCGTTTGGAAATTGAAATAATAATGGCCAAAATTGGGATGGCTACAATTTAAATAGGTTCAATAGACCGGTTTACCAACGTATTCAAATTTTATGCATACATTTTAAACAATGGTTGTTCTTGGCAATCTGAAAGCTTGCCCGAGGCTTGCCTGGCATATAGCAATAAATAAGTAATGTACATGTATGCAGACACGTATGGTTGTATAGTTGTACATGTATTCCATGTAGTTCATTCACGATTCAAAAGTAACATTTTAATCAATGGATAAGTCGTCACTAGGTCCCTGGGAAAGAAACGTCCATGAATTTGAATATATACGTAGCATAGTACAGTTGTAGCATACATGTACCAGTCTATTGAAAATGGAAGACCCTCCCGTCATTGATCTTACAAATTGTGAAAATTAGCCAGTGCCAGAACAAATAGGAAATTGTTAATTAGTGAGTCTTATACTCTGTGAAGAAGAACGTGAACAGAAGGTGAGATTAATTAACAGTTTGGTATGTTGGTTTTGACACTTTGTTTTATTTGTTACCAACCAGTACTGTACAACTGAACTGTAGTGCTCATTGATTGATTGGCAGGTGGTGTACATTTACATGTATGTTACGTTTTTTTGTAAAACTTACATTATGTGGTATGCAAGATGTACAGTAGTACACATTGTATGACAGATTCATTCATATATCAGGGAGTTATATATCATGGAGGGGTGGGGGGCATGAGGAAGGGTCATTGAACTAATGTACAATATTGCTGCTACTCCTACTGACCTCTACTACTACTACTACTACTACTGCTACTTTTTCTACAGTGTACATGTACATGTACTACCACCAACACCACCACTACTACTACTACTCCTACTTCTTCTATGACTACTACTACTACTACTACTACTACTACTACTACTGCTACTGCTACTACTACTACTACCACCACTACCACTACTCCTTCTTCTTCTTCTACTAACTACTACTACTCCTTCTTCTTCTTCTTCTTCTACTACTACTACTACTACTACTACTACTACTACTACATGTAAGTACTACTATTACTACTACTACTACTGTTACTTCTTCTACTACTACTACTATCACTAGTACTATTACTAGTACCAGTACCACTGTACCAGTACTGCTTCTAAAAGTTCTACAACTAGTAATTATTGTTAATAGTGTGTAGCGTAGAGGTACTTAATGGAACTACTACTTGTACCCCAACAAATTGTTTATTAAGCAACCTTGTACTGTCATACATTGTATTTTAAGCATAAAATGTGTGTAATTAAGTACAGTGATACATGTATGTACCATTAAAGCAATGATCTGCTTACTCTAACACAATGAGGATCAGTAAATTTTTCAACAAAGTTTACAAACAATATTTGAAGATCAGTCACTCGTAAACACTTTCACAAAGGCCTGTTTACCATTTTCATTATCTTGTAAAATGCAAATTTGTATGAAATATTTGAAAACATGTTGTTTTCTTTCATTGCAGCATCAAAGTTGCAGGAAATTTGTCTTTAAAATATTTACATTCACGTGCCACACTTCAGCTATTCTTGTTCACTGTATACACTGTTATGTATACAAATTGTTTAGAATGTCAACAAGCAAAATATTGTTCAAACTACATGAATACATTTGATTGGCATGTCATTGTAAAGTTTACATTACTATTTTATAATCAGGAAAAAAATGAAAAAATGGTTGACAATATTTGAAAATCAAATTTTTGAGATAAATAGTAGCAAGATTCTGAATACATTAGTATCAATATGGACAATGCAGGCCTTCAAAAGAAAGCTAAATTGTATTTTACTACCAGTATACAGGAAAATGAGGACATACAGTAGTAACAGAAATTAATTCAGTTCAACGAAGTGAATGATTTTTATATTATTAGAGCAATAAGCTGTGACACGATGATGTCATCGAAGAAAGATCTACACTGTGTGTACAGCTTTATTTTAATGTTGTAAATTCAATTCAGGCCGATTCTGTCCAATATGTGTCTCGTAGGCCATGTTATTTTCAAATACGTACATGTACATTGTAATGTTTACTCTAAACATGTACAATGTACTGTAAGTTAATCACACCTGTAGGCCTACATGTATCTATGTATATTGTACATCTCTCAGTTCAAACAATTAGCTTATAAACTGACATACAGATGTACATTGCATACATTCAAATAGCGCACAGTGTATAGCCTGGCATAGAACTCTCATTATTTCATTGTCGAACAAAGGTCATTTATGAATCAATAATTCCACCTTATCTGACTTCTTTTGAATTGACCTTCCAGTTTATAGTTGCACCGTTAATTTGGCATACACGGCTACATACATGCCTATTGTGATCTGTACACTGGTACAAGCAGTCCCGACACTCCTGACATGAATGAAGAAATTAATATTGCTAATGAAATGCTGCGAAGATTTGCATACATGTAAACTCTTGTATTTTGCAAGATTCTGATATACACTGTACTACTGTACGTATAGATACTGAATTACTGATACTTATACCGGGTTTACAACTGAAAATATTTTTGGCATTTTAAATCATAGGATAGACATTTTAATAGATACATGTATGTGTACTGAAAATTATTATTATTCATATGAGA